GAGGGGGGAAAGGAAAAGAAGGAAAGAAAAATAACGGAAAGAAAGGAAGGACTGATTCTGTAAAACGCCAGCCCAGACTTTCACCTATCTGTACAAAGGGCAATACGGACTGAAAACCTCTTGCGCAGGAAAGACCAAAGCAAGGAACTGCCTTCATCTCTTGGATTCCTAGGCGCACCGTTTGCCATGAAGCTCTATGCTCTCTTCCACATCAGTTATAGCTTACTGCATGTGGCCAAACTGATGCAATAAGCCAGCAATTCCACAACTCCAGTCAGATCCTCTGACTCCACGAAAGCCTTGCCATTAGAAGCTTCTCTATAGTATAAAGCTCATCATAAAACCAACATGCATTCAATCCACAGATTTTCCAGGTTTCGGAGAATAAAAGTAGAGCATAGTCAAAGTTTGGAGAAATTGAGCAGCATTCTGAAGCAGAAAGAATGCCAGGTGAATCCATGATAACATGCAAAATATTTCCGGGACAAGGGGGTCCAGGACACTGCACAGGGAAAGCCCCACAAAACACGTTCTTGTGATAACTCATTTAAACAAACACTCAGTATTTTTCTTTTTTTTTTTTTTTTTGAGTTGGGAGTCTCACTCTGTCACCCAGACTGGAGTGCAGTGGCCGCTCCCGGCCACCGCAGCCTTGACCTGCTGGGCTCTGGCGATCCTTCTACCTCAGCCTTCCAAGTAGCTGGAACTACAGGCGCGCACCACCACACCCAGCTTTTTATTTATTGTAGAGATGAGGTCTCACCAAGTTCCCCCGCACCCGCAGGCTCAGGCTATCCTCTCGCCTCGGTCTCCCAAAGTGCGCTGGGATTACAGACTGAGCCACCGAGCCCAGTCACTCAGTATTTTTCAAGAGCCTTAAGACGAGAGAAAAAAAAAATGGCTCCTGTCCTCAGGAATCTGTACTCTAATGACACTTTCAGGTGATCTCACACATCAATAAAGTTAAGGACCAGCTACAAGCATTCTAAATCATTGGCAACAATTACATATTTATCATATTTTAAGTCTTATAATACAAATATTTGTAAGATTTTAATACTATATCCATCTGTATTTACAACAATGTTAGGGGTTGACATTGAACTATATCTATCTTCCTTAACTTAAGGAGTCTGGCATAATTTTGATGAATTTTATCTCTAGCTCCTGAAATTCATTTCAAAAGTCATGCTTTGGCCTGGTGTGGGGCTCATGTCTGAAATCCCAGCACTTTTGGAGGCCAAGGAGGGTGCATTGCCTGATCCTAGGAGTTCGAGACCAGCCTAGACAACATAGCCAGAACTCACCTCTAAAAAAAAAAAAAGAAATCAAAAAATGAGCCAGGCACGGTGGTGTGCACCTGTAGTCCTAGCTACTTGGGATCCTGACATGGAAGGATTGCCTGAGCCCAGGAAGTTGAGGCTGCCATGAGTAGCGATTGTTATGATCATGCCACTACACTACAGCCTGGGTAACAGAGTGAGACCTCAACTCAAAAAAAAAAAAAAAAAAAAAAAAGGAAAAGGAAAAAAGTCATGCTTTAATTTCTGATGCAGGAATAGCTTTCACACCTGGTTCTGATATAACTTTCATTTTAATTTATTTTGTGACATTAAGTAAGACATCTGTCTTAGCCTTTTCCATTTGTAAGCTAAAGAAACTAGCCTGGAATATTGGAATAATACATCACTAGACAAGAATTTTCCAATTCTTAGAGTTTTGGTTCTTTTTTTTTGAGTCAGGGTCTCACTCTGTCGCCCAGGCTGGAGTACAGTGGCCGCTCCCGGCCACCGCGCCTTGCCCTGCTGGGCTCCGGCGATCCTTCTGTCTCAGCTTTCCAAGTAGCCGGAATTACAGGCGTGCGCTGCCACGCCTGGCTAATTTTTGATTTATTGTAGAGATGAGGTCTCGCCAAGTTCCCCAGGCGGGTCACGACAAACTATTCTTTTTTTTTTTGAGTTGGAGTCTCACTCTGTCGCCCAGACTGGAGTGCAGTGGCCGCTCCCGGCCACCACAGCCTCGACCTGCTGGGCTCTGGCAATCCTTCCGCCTCAGCCTTCCCAGTAGCTGGAATTACAGGCATGTGCTACCACGCCCGGCTGATTTTTTTATTTATTGTAGAGATAAGGTCTTGCCAAGTTGCCCAGGCGGGTCTCGAACCCCCGGGCTCTGGCAATCCACTCACCTCAGCCTCCCAAAGGCGCGGTATTACAGGCTGAGCCACCGAGCCCGGCTGACAAACTATTCTTAAGTGTCTTCTTCTTTAATAAATTTTAGTGAAGCATAATGATTTGGAGAATATTTATCTTTCCTAATTATTTACTGTAAATCTGTATCTTTGAATATATCTGGTTTTGAAAAAGCAGCAAGTGTGAATCTCTCTCTCTCACACACAAACACACACACACACACACACACACACACACACACACACATATACCTGAGAGCTGTGGTCCCTGCTGGTGTGCATTTCCACATCAAACATGATCTGCCCATCTTCCTGTGGGGAAGGACTAGAAGAGAAATAATTTAGTCATTAGTTTAATTCTCATTTCGTCAAATAAATTAGTGTCTACTAAACTTCAGAGTTACAGCAGTAAGCTCTGAAAAAAGCATCAAATCAGGAAATATAACCTTACGCAAGAAAATTTTACGTGGTATTAAAGGGCTAAATAAAATAGAGTGTTCTTATTCCAAAAATATTCTAGACTTTTTCAGTAGTGACAAATGCCTTCACACGATAAAACTGCAAAGGAAATGTTACCTAAAGACACAAGATTGTCACATTCTCTTGTATTTACTCTTTTTTGTCAATAAAGGTAAAATAATCTTCAAATTCAGAAACTAGTTTGGGGTTCTTTTCCTCCACGTTCTTTCATCATTAAATAACTCACTACTAGCGGTTTTCAGAGTGTATAAAGCAGTCCTCAAAGACTGCTTTAGAGGGTCTTTGGGGCTAAAATTGCTCTAATACCAGAAGGGTTTATTTGCCTTTTCCCTTCTCACTCTTCGTCAGTGAACAGCGGAATCTTCCATGGGCTACATGGTGTGTGATACCACAACAGACTGAATGCAAAAGGTGATGAAAATCCAGCTGTTTCTATTAAGCCAGATACTAAAGAGACTTGTAAAAATGTAAAACAATGTCACTGTTCTTATTAATTCTTGGGGTTACAAAAATAGTTATTTTTCATTTGAAAAGTTACTTAAGTTAAAATGGTATGGATCGTTATTTTAAAATGAATTAATACACATTTTTAAATTTTCTCAGTTTTATTTCTATTATAGTAAAATAGATAGACCCACAAACAAAAGCTCTTTAGAGTCCTTAATAATTGTTAATAATGTAAAGGGGTATAAAGACCAAAAAGTTTGGGAATCACTATCTACTTACTTCAGAAATGTCTACTTTGAGATAGTTCAGAGTGAATTATATAAACATATATGAATAATAAATCATTATAATAATACAAAATATATTCCCCAAATTACAAAAAATTAACAGATAAATTATTGGACAAAACACATGATTACAAACTGTACTTGGCACAATAGATGAATAAAATATGTTAATTTCTCAGCTTTATCAATGATTCCCATGGAATCACATCAAGTCACCAAGTGTTTCACCACACACAGACACACCCCTCCCCAAAACCCTCCAAAAAGCAGAGATGAAAAATATATAGGGCTTTAGTTGCTCAAAGGAATAGAAATTATTAAATTTACCAAGAGCATGTGTACGGTGCTAATTAATTTATAGAGATGTTGGTGAGACTGACCCAAATACAAGTAAGAACACCTGAAACTTATCAAACAGATTATGCCTAGGAGTCTTAGACTAGGGTAACTGACATAGGAGATTCTTACAATGGGAATAGGTAAACAGAAAAGCTGGTTCTGAATCAAACAATTCTGTATCAACAATTCCTAAATTCAAACATTTAGGAAATTTTTGTCTTGAGCTAGAAACGTCAGTCTACACCACAGACGCCAACCAAAATCGAGCAGTCTTGCTGGTCTCAGTTACCATCTTTGTGCTCCTAACACTGCTGGGTTCATAGCCAGGCATCAAACTGAGGGCCAGTCTTACACAGCTGTGACCAGGTCAAGGCAGTCAGAGTGACACGGTCAAAATTCCACGAAGCCCCGCTCTACCCCTGTACTCTTCTTTACACTGGCACCAAGATCCCTTCAAAAAACACTAAACTGTTTACGACTCTGAACAATTTGGAATGTACTCAAGCTTCCACCCTGGCTCATATTAGAATCAGCTGAGGCGCTTTTAAAATATTCGGCTGTCTCTACCCTGTCCCTGACAACTGAATGAGAAGCTCTGGAGGTATTTTTAAAGGATGCCTGGGTGACTAGTATTCAGTCGAGGTTGCAAACCCATTCAGCAGGATGGAACACAAAGAAAACATGAGGGTCACCTTCAAACAACCACTGCAGCCACCAAAAGACACATGGAGTAACTTTAAAATTGAGAATATACGTATACTAGCTCTAGAACTAATATACAGTAATTCTAAAACTTATCCACCTCCAAGAAACACTTCCCACAACTTCAAATCCAGAGATGCTGGCCACTCAAACGACAGGAATTCTGAGGACACTTTGACGTGGTGACGCGTGTTAGAGAACACAGGAGAGCACTGTGGTGCTGCGGTTCCAGGCCTCCTCTGCAAGACGACCAGTAGACCAAAGATACGTAAGACGTGTGAGGGGGACAGCAAAGTACTCACAGGCATATTCACATGTTTAAAAACCCAAACGCACCAGGTGCAGTGACTCACTCCTGTAATCTCAGCACTATGAAAGGCTGAGGCGAGAGGATTGCCTAAGCCCAGGGATTCGAGACCAGCCCGGACAACTCATCTCTACAGTAAATCAAAAGATTAGCTGGATGTGGTAGCACGTGTCTGTGGTTTCAGCTACTTAGAAGGCTGAGGTGGAAGGATCATCTGAGCCCCAAAGGTCGAGGCTGCTGTGACTGTGACAGTGCCACTGCACTCCAGTCTGGGGCACAGAGTGAGACTCCGACTCAAAAAAAAAATTAACTAATTAAAAAAAATAAAAAGATAGCCGGGCATGGTGGCGTACATCTGTAGTTCCAGCTATTTGGAAACTGAAGTGGAAGGATAGCCTAAGCACAGTAGGTCGAGGCTGCAGTGGCTGTGAGTGTGCCACTGCACTCCAATGTGGGCGACAAAGTGAGACTCCAATTCAAAAAACAAATAAAATAAAAAGAAGCCCAAGCCAGGCTCGGTGGCTCAGCCTGTAATCCCGTGTTTTGGGAGGTTGAGGTGAGTGGATTGCCTGAGCCCGCGGGTTTGAGACCCGCCTGGGTAACTTGGTGAGACCTCATCTCTACAATAAATCAAAAATTAGCCGAGCATGGTAGCGCGCACCTGTAGTTCCAGCTACTTGGAAGGCTGAGGCGGAAGGATCACCGAAGCCCAGCAGGTCGAGACTGCGGTGGCCGGGAGCGGCCACTGTACTCCAGTCTGGGCGACAGAGTGGGACTCCAACTCAAAAAAAAAAGAAGCCCAAATGTAAACCCAATGACGTGAGGGTGAGCTCACAACCAGTCACAGGCACAACTGCACCCATAAATTAAAATGACCAGACAGGTAAATAGGCAGCTTTTGCTCTGCTCAGTGACAGCACCGTGTGAACAAGTCAGTGGACACATTGGTGCCCACGTCAAGGTTCATGGGCCTGAATGTACCATAAAAGCCTTAGCCACAGGCCATAACAAGCAGAAGACTTGGAAATCCATCAGCAAGTCCTACAATACAAATGTAATGTAAAGCTTCATTCGGGAAGACACACGAACGCTGCAGCTACTGGAACCAATGGCAAGCTGTTCAGGGAAGAGCCATCTGCTCTGGTTCTGTTTGTGACAAAAGCCATCCCAGGCTCTAAGAAGCACAGGGACAAGTCAGAAATGACACGGGGGTGGCGGGGATGCGCAGCGTGCCACAGAACCAACAAACCAGTTCTTCGGCTGCCTTGGTAACATGAGTGGGTCATAAGCCACGCAGGAAGTTCGAGTGTGATTTAATTACTGTTTCTTCTTTTTTGACTTTTTCTGGTAAGAAATAATATGTTCCATAGACACAATTTTTAAAAAATACCACAATGTTAAGAAGAAAGATATCCATAATTCTATCCTCTAAAGATAATCAATGTTTATGTTTAAAAATGTTTCCTTAAATCTTTTTCTGTGCATTGGCATTTTCTACCTGGTTAATATTAGTTAGCTATTAAGTAGCCAGAAGATCATCCAGTACCCCATAATGCTGACAGTGTGGCTGCCACTGTACTGAGAGTTTCTAAATGTCATTTACTACCTAGTCTCCCTGAAGAAAAAACAAGCTTCTACTGAGAAGAAATTCATGACTTGGTCTCATTCTACATCTGCCCCTCACTATATCCTTCCTCTTTCAGTCCTTAATCATTGGAATTCACTTTCCCAGGTCAAATATAGAAAACGTTATGTCTTTGGTACAGCAGGAAAACACACACACACACACACGTCTGAAACAAAACCTCTTCTGAGGATATGGAATGGCCTTCAAAATCCACTATCTTTACAGACCTTGGCCGGTGCTTCCAATGTGCAAACACTGCTGTACCGTAAGCCAACCTGCAGTTCCTAGAAGTCAAGCATTTCCTGAGTGTCTACTGTACGCCAGCTGTGACTATGAAGGTACTAAAGATGAAACATGCCCCTGCCTCGAAGTCTCAAAGTCTAGAAGGGAAGACCAAAATGCACAGACGGAACTGGAACTTAGAGCAGACTTGGTCTGGGAAACACAGACACAAAGGAAAATAAGAGGAAGCTAGGCTAATTCTGTAAGTTAGCATTTATGCCAGTGAATTGTAAATTGATACACTTCTGAGATAATACACACTGAGGAAGAAAAATGACTTCATCTGGGGAAAAACCAATGGGTACTCAGGTACTTGTCAATGAATCTGATTTAAATACACATGGTGCAAAAAGTCAGTAGGCATAATTTGCTAAGTGAAGACCCAAGGAGAAAATTTTTCCTAATGGGAATTAGCCTTGTAACCCGCTGTTTCCAGAAGTCTACCAAAACATGATCTCACTTACCTGTCACAGTGAGAACTGCCTCTTGAACTACTCTGTCCTGACTCATGCTGTGCATCCAGAAGAATCTTCTCCATGTCTCCATTGTGGATGGAGGACGAGGAAGGGACGTGTTCCAGCCCTCCGTTTTTCCCATTGCCATTATCATTGCCATTGCTGCTGTTCATGGGTAGCTCCACCCAGGAACCTGTTGGACAAGTCAGATAATGTCAGTTAACCACGGCCAACCTGAAATCTGTCATGTGCACACAGACACTAAACATGGTGGGTTTAGATAAGGATTTTGACTTGCCTCAAACCAAATGCAATGGTGTTCTGAAGAACACAAACAAGGGGCAATAAAAGTCTAAAAATCTATATAATTCTATTCCTGAAGCAGTTCATGCAATCAACCAAGAAGGAGCTGGAACTCTAAAGCTAACATGTTAGGAAAAGCATCTTTCGGTCAATTTTCTCTCTGGTATTGGGTTAGTTTAAAACACCCAATACTCCACTGAAAACTCTGAAGTTGCTTTTCAAAAAATAAATAGCCACTTTATTACTAGACAGCCTACTTTACCTTTAATATTTTGTGTACACACACAAACATATTTTTTACAGTCTACCTAAGCTATTTAGCTGTATCTGTTCCACACATAAAGTAATAAATGTATCACTTAGAAACTTCATAAAGGCTGTCCAAATAAGTTCACAACTACATCCAAATAATTAGCACAAACAACCGAGAAACTCCTAAAGAGGGAACCTAAATCCCACACAGAAAGTTCCATTTGTGTACAAATCTGCAGTATAAAATTAATGCAACTAAATCGGGTGCCAATGCTAAAAATCCAGAAAGAAGCTTTAGCTCTATCCCACAGATTAACTTCTTTCTTTCCCTCATACTTCACACTTTCTGGTCTTTCTCCTTCTTCGGTGCACTAAACGTACCTTGTGACCTTGTCCAGGTGTTCTTCTCTCCCACCAGTTCCTACGTTCCAGGGTTTTCATTAAGCCTGGTTAGTTTGGGGGCAGAAACAACTGCATGATGGCTACAGGCAGACACGAAAGTTTTCTCGGAAGAACAGCTGAAGCAGGTGGAGCCACAGAAAAAGAGGATGTGGCACTGGTAATCTGCACTGGTCTTGAAAATATTTACTGGCCCAATGAGTTTGCTGAATATATTAAGGTGCCTTAATTTTAATAAGGAATGATAACGGTAGCCCACAAAGCAACTTTACGACAAAAAGGGACAGTAGTATGTTTTGTTCACAACTTCCACTCCCTACGATATATTTGTTCTAGAAAACAGCCAAGCAGGTTGATGGGCCATTCCTCCAAACTCCCAGCAGAACTGTGAGCGTTCCAGAGACGAGTAGGGAGTTCTGTCAGTAAATCAAAATAATCATCAAGATGGGCTCGAACCCTAAACTGCACTCTACATTGGGCGAGGACTATGTCAGCGGCAGAGTGGACTCAGCATCATTCACACGTGCAGGACAAGCGCAAGGCAGGCCTGGCCAGGGGTCAGACTCCATGACCAGCTACCTGCCATGAACCTGAGTTTCAGATTCCTCATTTGTGCAACAGAGACAGTAACACAAGGTGGCAATGAGGGCTAAGTACGGTAATATAAAGCGCCGAGTAAATGGAAGATGCCCAGTTACACCCTGGTTACAAGAGTTTACAAAGTACTTAGATCGTGTTTGCTAAAGTCACCCTTGCCTTGCCACCTAAGGCAGTCCCAGTGGCTGTCACTGTCCCATAATCATCACCGATTCCACGCGACACAGCTGAATGTCATCTCCATGGCCTCACTCTACACACACACACAAATGGACACGAACTCGCAAGACTCAACATGGATGAACATAACTAGCAAAGCTAAGAGAGATCTAACATCAAGAATAATCTAAACACCTGGAGTGCCTCTGGAGTCTACATGAATATGTCAAAAGCACCAAAAGTTAGAGCTCTTCAAAATATTTCAACTGGAAGAAAGAGAACGGGAGAAAGAGAAGGGGAGAGAGAGAACATGAACACGAAAAACTGGTTTTTCCTACTCCCACTGTTTCTAGGATCTTCACATTTATTTTTAAACCAATGGGACCAGCTCTTCTTGTACAGAAGCCCAATGTGCAAAATAAACAAAAACAAACAAAAACCCAGAGTTCTGGCAGGAACAGGGCTAAGGAGCCAGAGTTCCAGATGGGGCTCTGTGGAAGTCAGTATTCCTAAAATACAAATAACGTTCACTTAAAGTAGCTGATCAAAGAGAAAAAGGCTGCAATAAACAATACCAGGCTTTCTGGTCCGGACTGTTTTGAAGGACTTCAAACCAATATCAAAATTCTATTTTCTTCAGTAAAAATACAATAGCAATCACAGTCTAACATGAATTTCAGAAACTTGAGGAGACATACCTAGAAAACTTAGTAAAAGTTATCTCTATCATGGTCTCCACTCCCAGTAGCATAACTAAAGGCAGACAATTTGTATTTGGCATACATTGGTATAGAGGTGTGGAGCTCAGACTGAGCTCAGACTCTCTTTCAGTTAAAGCTGTTACACTTGGACAGGGTACTTAACCTCTGGGTGTCTCGGTTTTCTCATCTGTAAAATAGGGATAATAACTGTATCTATCTCAGAATTGTTAGAAGGATTAAAAGACTTAAGCACACAGAAAAATAAGAAAGGTCCCTAAGTTAGTGTTAGCTACTGTAATTATTTTCCATATCTTTTAAAAATCTTTTCTTTTTTTCTCTTTTTTTTGAGTTGCAGTCTTACTCTGTCACCTAGACTGGAGTGTAGTGGCACACTCACACCACCCCGGTGTCGACCTGCTGGGCTTAGGCGATCCTTCTGCCTCGGCCTTCCAAGTAGCCGGAACTACAGACACACACTACCATGCTCGGCTAATTTTTTGATTTATTGTAGAGACGAGGTCTCACCACATTGCCCAGGCTAGTCTTGAACTCACGGGCTCAGGCAATCCTCTTGCCTTAGCCTCCAAAATGCTGAGACTACAGACTTGAGCCACCACACCCAGCCTAAAAACCTCTTTACTGCAAAAACAACATATTTTTTAAAAATGTAAACATCAGTACATAAAATAAAAAATTAGCAGCAATCCTCCCAAGCTCTTATTCCCACTCCCAAGGGAAACTACTTTTAACAGTTTCTCATGGAGACTTGAGAGTTTTTTTCAATGAAATGTAGTTGTTTTTATAAACAAGTGGCATTGTATCACACGTACATACATACTTACATATCCTGTAAACAGTGTTTTCCATATGTCTTTCATTATCAGTGTATACTGACATTCATTCTTTTGAAAAACTGCACTGCATCTCATCATTTATAAAGATATACTGTACTTTAACCATTTTCCAAAAGGCAGTAGTTAACCATTACCCAAATGATTGTTTCTAGTATTTTGTTAGTACTTATTAGGGCTTTAGTAAACATTCTGGAAGGTAACTTGGCAATATGCATTAAGAGCCTTACAAAGGTAGATGCCCTTTAGCTCAGTAATTCTCTTTCAGAAACATCCTCTATGGAAATACACAGTGGTACAGAGAAAGTTATGTACATAGACATTAAGAGGCCACATACTAGCTTTATATGTTGAGTTACACAATGACGCAAATTTGTCTTAAAAGATGCACAACACAACCCTCCTTCCTGTCACCTGATTCATTCCTGATCTACAGCCTCAGAACTTCTTAATGATCTAACTCGACCAATCCTCACAAAGTCTTCTTACTTAGAAAGGAAACAAGGCAAGATATGAGGATTGTGCCATCCAAGCAACACCAAGTACAAAGCAACCGCAGAGTGAATTCTCTTCCTAATAAGCAAGCTTGAAAACTAAAAGCTGGAAGCGTCCTCTATTATTTTAGAATACTATGTATAGGCTAGAAACTTTTCCTTTATGCCAGTTTACATACACACATAATGACCTGAGATACTTTCTGGCTAAGTCTTTGGGAACGGCCAAGAGACTCAGGGAAGCACGCTTCTCCATTCTCCACCAGCAGATCGTGAAGGCTGGCCCAGTAATCGTGATGACACTCATTACGGTATGCTGCAGACTCGGCACAGTTTTATAATCACCAGTCAATCCTCTGGCAAGAAGGGGAGCAGGGGAGCTTCAGGACAGGGGAAGGAGACAATGAAGAGCACTTCTCCTTTTCCCCCCAACTTTTCAAGGCCCCACATGTAACTCTTATCCTTCCCAGGGAGGACATACTCCATTTGTCTTCTTTCCTCAAAGCCTTTCTTCCGTTGGTTTCAGGTACCCAATTGCTGGAATCCAGACCAGCAAGAGTCACTGGCATTCTTCTAAACAGTGTCGGTCTTTTTGCAGAAGTGGGTGTTTACACACCAGTTATTTATGTATTCAAAACTATCACGGAGCAGTGGCATTTCATGAGGGACTTACGAGCACTCTTGCCGTAACAGGGAAGCAAGTACATCATGGCTGAAAATGTTTAAAAGGGAAAAAAAAGCCTGTACTTCTCAAAAACAGGAATTATACCACTACCTTGATTTTCCTTACACTACCTTCTGAATCTGAGGACATATATGTCTTATTCAAATACTCTTTAAGTAACTTGACCATTTTCTCAAGAATAAAACTCACAACTGGAAAACATCCTTTTAACTTTGGAAGTAGTTTGGATATTTGCCCTCTAATTTATAAAAGTGAGCAATCCCTCTAGAATGATAAACTAAAAAAAAAAAAAAAAAAAAGAAAAGAAAAGAAAAGAAAGAAAAACAGAGAAAAGCTTCACCATTTCAAGTATTTCAATAATGTACTTCGCTTTGACCCCTGAACGAAAGATAAAAATCTCAAACCAGAGATAATCTGTACAGTGAGTTTCATCTCTTGCTTTTCAAAGTTGGGCAACTTTATCCAACAACACAGTTCGACTTATCAGCAATAGTGCTAGATGCTTGAATAAACTGTTTTGCCCAGTGTCCAAAAACCACTTCAAGGAACCACTAAGGCTTCTTGTTTTGTTCAGTCCAGTGTTGTATAATGAACTAAAAAAACGAACAGAGTAAGGGGCAAGTCAGGAGTAATTAAATATGACATGATCTGAGAGCTTTTCCATAACTTTCCAAAATTCACCCTACCCTAAATAAAATACTGCCTATCTAGCAGATTTCCCAAAGCACCATTCTGATAACCCATGCAGGCTGAGTGCACGTCCACTTCTGTCAGAGCTAATGTAAACGTAGCAGGAACTGACTGGCCAAAGACATCAAACACCTCACAGGCCTGTCAGACACCAAGATAAACAACCACATATAGGCTAACCTCATTTTTCTTGTTAAAGGGCCAAAGGAAAATTAAAATCCCTTTGCTTGCTGTGAAGCCACGCACAGACACCAACCAGAAATCCTAACGCACAAGAAAACACTCAGCACAATTAAGAAACAGAATGCTAAAAAGAGAAAGACAGGTGGGCCAACTTTGTGCATTAGGTAGACTAACACGCTGAAAAACTAAGATACACACGTCATCAGGAGATTCCGGCCCCCTGAGATGAAGTATCCTGAAAACAGCACTAGCGGGCCTGAATGACTCATATTTGTATACCTAACCCTTAACTGTACCCCACAATATCAAAATAAAAAATACTGATCATAAAAAAAAAAAGAAAGAAAACAGCACGGGACTGGTGGGAAGTGGAAACCTCAGCTCTCAGTCTCAGCCAGCTGTGAACCTGGACAAGCCCTTTTACTCCAGACCTGTTTCTTTACTGGTAAATAGCAGGGGACAGTTAGCTCTGAAGCCCCTTTCCCATTCAAAAATCCATGCTTCTAAGAGAGCATGCTAAAAATGGGCAAATGATTTAAAGCTGCATATTAATATGGGATACAAGTCACATTTAAAGACACATTAATCCCAATTTACTGTGGGAAATAACACCAAAAAATCATACATTCGAGAACATAAGACACTTAAAAGGTCAACATTTAGGTAAGAATTAACCCATCAAAACACGGAGCAGCAGCATCCATCTTAAAATACCCAAATTCTATCCTCATCTCGTGAGGACAGGAACTCTCTTCTCTAAAATAAGGTTTGGGCCACGTTGGAAGCAGCTCCCTCTTGTGAAAGAAAGCGACTGCATGACCTTTAAGCACCCAAATGGTTTTTAAAAGATTCTGCCTGGCCATTCACAACTGCACCCACCACCTCTTTCACAAGAGATGCCGCGCAAGAAGGTTAGGCAAGAACTTTTCCAAGAAGGCCCCGAGTTCTCACGGCTGGGAATAATCTCAGGACAAGGTGTCTGAGCACCAGAATGTTACCAAAACCACCGTAGTGGGTAGTAACTCAAGCCTGCCCGTTAAGGTGTCTGCATCTGTGTGCTTTCAAATCCGTTTCTGAAAATCCACTGCCCAGGCTGTGATCAGCATGCAATCTTGGGGTGGGTCGGGAAGGCTGGGCTTAGGTTTACCAGGCACACAACCTCTTCGTTTAAAAAAAAACCATTTAAACAACTTCGAAAAATCTTTTAAAGGAAATTTGTTTTAAGGGAACACAGCCTCCTCGCCCCACGGATTCAAGTGACCACTAAATTGCCGAACGGACCTTCCTGACCAACATGTGGCAACAAAGGAGCGCACCCAAAGGACTCACGTGCCCGGCCAGGGAAGCCCGGCCCCGAGGGGCGGGTCTGAGGGGGGCCCCGAGGCACACCTGACTCCCGACACGTCCCCCGGCCGCCCGCCCCGCCCCCCGCGCGTCCATCCCCCGACGTCCCCGCCGCACGTCCCCATCCCTGCCCACGTCCCCTCCGTGGCCCGCTCCGCCCACCCTGCCTCCTCGG